AGGTTAAGAACTTAATTCGTTCTGGAGGTCCATTCTTAACCTGAAACTGTTCTTAACCTGAGGTACCACTTTAGCTAATGGGGCCTCCCACTGCCGTCACGCCACCATCGCACGATTTCTGTTCTCATCCTGAAGCAAAGTTCTTAACCTGAGGTACTATTTCTGGGTTAGCGGAGTTTGTAACCTGAAGCATCTGTAACCTGAAGCGTCTGTAACCCAAGGTACCACTGCAAAAAGGAGTAGTAAAAGTGTAACCTATCCTGATTTTGTAGCCAGAGTTAAACTTGTAGCTTCAGTAACTAATGTCTATGGTGAAAAGTAGGCCCCCAATAAAATATTCAAGAGGAGATTGAAATGTGATCACTGTTTCAGTGCAAAATGATATACTATAACCGCAGCATGTGTTTTACTTCATTGACAAATTATGTTTTGAGAATGCTATCATTGTACATATACACTCATAGGGGGGAGAGAATGTGCACAAATAATTATAGAAAACTGAACATATATATGGTGAAGCTTAACAAACTTTGTGAAGGCTAGTGACGGTTGACAGTTATATACTAAGCTGTTAGAAAATGAGTTTTTGTGCAGCCATTTGCCTCACCCTGGCTACAGGGTGAGTGAGAATTCTTTTCTTCAAAAGGTGGATTCCTCTCTAGCTTTAGGCAACTGATCACTACTTCTTTTTATAACTTAAAAAGTTATTTGAGGTGTGTGTGGTGGCTGCATTTTATTGTAGCTGTTTCTCTCTAAGTAATGATGCATGCTATATTAGGGTGTTTTGTTTAAGATACCGTGATTCATTTTAATTTTGTTTCATGAGCTGTCTTGAAGGCCCCACTGAGATTACAAAGTAAGATATAAATGTTGAAAAAAATGAATTCATAAATAGGTTATTGTTCATTGACATGGCAACTGAAAGCAATGAACTGCTAATCACTCCCACTGTGCAAACTTCAAATTCTGGATGTGAAACTTTCTCTGAATCCAGTTTCTAGTTTTACATCAGCTCAGGTCTCGTGAACCTCTCAGAAGGTCACAGGTCCATTTTGCCTAGATTTTGCTTAGCAAGAGGAGTTTGTTTTAAAATAATGGCCTGTGGCAGTCCTCCAGCAGAATCAGAATCAAATGTTTGGGAACCACTCCAAGATGGAGTTCCCGGGAGAGTGCCTTCAATTCACTCCTCATAACATCAGCCCTATTCTGAACGTAAATATGATCAAAGTGCAGAAGGCCCAATCAATATTGTAAATTCATTTTAGACAAATATATTTAACAATTAAAATAAATTCACTGCCTTGTAATAATTTAGGTTGCTTTCTGAAGCACGTTACATACCATGCGTGCTGGATTGTGCAACTGCCAAAGGCTGACTCTGCTTTCAGAGTCTGGAATAACAAAATCTGGTTCAAGGTCACGCATTTATAATGGTTCTGGGGACATGTGCTTTCTCCCTGTGCAGTACCAAATATAGTTGTGGCAACCCACCAAATAATAATCATCTTCACCGTCCTCAAGACCGCTGATGTTTTGCCATGTCACTATGTAATCCTTTGAGAAAAACCTCAAGTAAGACCTGTTGTATCAGGCATGCAATTCCTGAGAAGATCAGTTGCACAATCCAAGGATTTCTGTGTAAGCACATAAGTAGGGAAATTATCATTACCTGGAATTGTTAAAAAAGAGTCATGACGTGGAAGAAATTAGGCATGCTGCTCAATAGTAACAGAAGCCTGCATGATCTCCTATTTTAGACAAACTTTATGTCATTGTGGTCCAGGCCATGAATGCGTAATGCAATCCTGGGAATCTTAAATTTCCATATAAAGTTGGAACAAAGTTGCACATATCCCACGGAAGTCAGTGGTTCTGATACATCTGAGAAGGTATGTGTAGCATTGCACTGTAAGAAAACAAAAGTAGCCTTCTTGCCCTCATGGTCATAGAGGTAGTTTGAAAAAGTGTAACTCCAGAAGGGTGAGAAACAAACAAATAAACAAAATCTCATTTTCAACTGTTGGCTCATTGAGGCTGCAACCCTATACTTCAGGGGTGGGGAACCAACAGCCCAGGGTGTAAATGAGGCCCTCCAGTCCTCTCTATCTGACCACTAGGACTCTCCTGAGATCACACAACTTCACCAGCCTTGCCTCACATCCTCTGTATTTTTGCATGGCCGGAATGTGCCATTGAAATCTGATCATGTCTCTTGGTTGCCTGAATGGAGGATACAGAGGGCTGTGTAGAAAGATAAATGTTATATTCATGGCTCCACCCACTTTGGCCTCTGGATCCACTCGTCACAGGGCTGCCCAGAAGCTATGGCTGAAAAAGGTTCCCTATCCCAGCTGTATCCAATGTGTTCAAAGGAAATTGCATGTTTCTGTTGCCCAGGATGCAATTCTATGCATGTTAGGAGCAGTGGCGCACCTACATTTTGAGGCCCTGAAGCTTGAACTGTCATGGGGCCCCCTTCCACATTCAGCAACAAGGTCTGGGTAACCACTGTTATCTTTTTCAGCTGGGGTGTTCCACTACCGATCGCCACACCTTTACAACATCTGTGCTACTGACTCTCAAACTTTGGGGTTGTTGAAAGATATACAGGGTGAGTCTTTTAAAAGAGGCCGCATGGGACATGTGTATTCTGTATCCACGGGGCCTCTTTTGAAGGACTAACCCTGTACAACAACAAACGATCAATTTGACTCAAATCAATGTGACTCAAATTGGGTCTACTAGACTAGACCCAATTGTTTTAAGCAATGTGGACTAAAGTTGCTTTTGGGGTCCCTCGGGGATTAGGGGCCTTGAAGTTTAAGCTTCATTAGTTTCATAGTAGATGAGTCCCTGGTTGGGAGTGAGCTCCATGGAGCACAATAAGGCTTACTTCTAATAAGCAGGTATAAGATTACTAAGGCACTCACCAATTGCTTGCTCAAGCATAAGCCCTATTGCATTCAGATGACTTACTCTTAAGTAAATGTGCATAGGATTGGACTGCACAGTCGGAATAAACAAGATTAGAAGCAGCCTGTTAGTCTTGTAGAATGAAGAGGTGGCAAAAGCACAGCATGCAGGACAGATTGATAAAGAACCTAGCTGCCAAATTTCTCAGTGGTCTCAAATATCAGTGTTCTTAATCTCTCTGTCTCTCTCTTCTCCCCCTCTCCCCTGTTTTTTCTGGAGTAAATACCCAATTACACATCTACTCAATAAGTGATGTCGCTTATCTGGAAATTTCCATTCAGGTTTCTTGAGTACAGTGAACCAGCTCTCTCCACATCTAGGAATCCTGTTGTCCACTTCCTCTGGAATAAACTTTTTGGCTGAATTCAATTTGTACATTGTGGAATTTCCTTTGAGGAAATGTCTGAATGTGTTGGGAGATTTCAGATTTAGCTTATTAATAAACATTGTTTGCATTTGTTACCTGGACTGCCATTTCATTCTGTTGTGCAGTACATAGTATGATGGGGGAGAAATTTGATTCAGTTCACATGTAAAGCCAGCTGTACCAAATTTGCACTTGTTGAAATAATATGACAACCAAAACACAGCTGTCACACTTTTCTGAATTTTGCATCAAGTTCTCCAATTAACAAATATTTCAAAAAATGAATAAATTAGGTAAAGGTGTGCGAACTTATTAGTGAAAAATACATTCAAAGTACATTGTATTAGGAGAATTGCAAAGATGTGTACATTAGTTAAAGTTGCATACAAAAATGTGTTCATTAGGAGAAATTTGCACTAAAATGCTGGATAATTTCCATGACAATCTGCAAGTTGCTGCAGAAATGCAAACCTTTTTGAGGGTGTGGTTTTTTTACAATCAAGTAGTACTAAAACTTTATGAAATAAAAAAAATAAAAATGTGAAAAACTGTATTTAAGATTCAAAAAATGATAAAATGGACAGCAGCTGTTTCACATGCGGGAAATGATCAAAGAGTGTGCATGCAAGCATATCTGAATGCACAAGAACATACAGAGAAACCATTTTGACTCAGCTGTATTTGCACGACACTTGTACTCCCAAGAACTGGGGAGAGTAGAGTGTTTCGTAAGAAAAGTTTTGATAGATTCACCTTAGGCAGAAAATGTGCACATGATATTGTTAATCGAAAATTTCAAGTCAGATGCACACCCAGTTCATAGGCTTGGCGAAAAAAATCCCCGTATTTGTTGATCTGAATATTGGCTTCCGCAGATCATAAACTGCAGTTATGATGATAATTTTTTTCCTCCAAAATGAGGGCTAAAAACACCTAACTGAATGAAATCTGAGTTTCCCATTATTATATCAAGATTCCTTATTAACTCATTTCCTTCTGTTTCATTTTCTTGCTTGCCTGCAGGTTTTAAATATGAGAGACTTGCCACCTAAGGAATTTCCCAATCTAAGAACCTATAGGCCAAAGGAGAAAGCTTCTCTCTTCTCATTGATGCAGCTGCCATTACGTAATTTATAATCCACTAATTAGTTTGGAATAAAGATTATGTGGGAGGTCTTTTTTCATAGCTTGTCAACACTATAAAATAGCTATCGTCCCCTTTATTTAATAGTGCCTAAATTTATTCACACACACACACACACACGGATTTTGAGACATCACTACATAATTCCAATAGTCCAAAGTAGGAGCTACCAATATCACATTGACAGGCACCAATATATCCACCAGTATCTGCTATGCAACCCACAAAATGTGTCAGTAAATATCCCCTCAAAAGTCCACAGTGCATGCAAGACTGGTCTTCCTGTGTTTGCACTGGCTCAGCTAGTCTCACACTGAAATGTGCCCTCGTTTCCTTGCATGCCAGGATCAAACATCCATTCTTCCTCTTGTTCTGAGCAAGAAGAACTTCTCTCTGTAAGTGAGCAGGATGGTGGCTGATACAAGGGCTGATACAAGGGCCATTGGTTGCAGGAGGGAGTGATGTGGGGCATGCCTGCACCGTTTTATGACCATGTCTCCTTTTCTGCTGTTTTAGATGCGGAAGGTAGTTTGCATCAAGCCATGGCCCCACGGCAGTACTTTCTCACAATTACCAAAGTGCCCACTGACCCAATGTCATCCCTGGTTGAAAGTGTCTCAAAAAATATCCACCATTTTCCCGCTTAGAAGGTTGATTAGAAAGTTTGTTTAAACCAGCAGCGAGGGAGAAAGACATAAGGTAAGTATAGGGAGTAGGTAGGTTATTACAATTTTACATCTCTTTCATTGTGTTGTTAAACTACAGCTCTCCCTTTTCTTTGCTGATAATATTTCTGCTTTGTCAAACACCAGACTATTTGCAAAGGGGTAGTTACAGGTAGGTAGCCGTGTTGGTCTGCCGTAGTCAAAACAAAATAAAAAAATTCCTTCCAGCAGCACCTTAGAGACCAACTATTGGTATGAGCTTTCGTGTGCATGATATGAAGAAGATATCTGAAGAAGTGTGCATGCACACGAAAGCTCATACCAATAACAAACTTAGTTGGTCTCTAAGGTGCTCCTGGAAGGATTTTTATTTTATTTTGCAGAGGGGTAGTGATGTTAGTCTGTTGCAGCAAAGCAACAAGACTTGAGGCACCTTAAAAGACTTGGCAAACTTGATTAAAGACTGACATCAAAGTAGAATTCATCCTGTATGCAATTTTGTGTTTTGCTCTTTTCTCACAATGGAATTCCAGCTACTAGAAATGTTTGGCCCTCTGCAGGCATCACCAAATAGGGAAGTTAGTTCCACCTGGGAGTGGCATTGTGGGGCAGCAGAGACTGAAGTGACTCCTGCAATGTGCTTCAGACCACTTATTCAGCACGAATACTTGCATGCTTAGTTATCATGAAGTATTACACAAGTAACCACAACAATGCTCTTAAAACGGACTCAGCTTCAAATGGATTTCTTTCTTTAAAGCAGATTAATGCAGAGCTGAGATGGAAGGGGTTTATGAATAGACGTGCAAAATGTACATGGACTGGAAATTCACTGATTCATCCATCCCTACTTGGAAGGAGGGGGAAGCTCTTGTAGGCACCTGCTTACACTGAATCATGGCCTGAAAGCCAGGAAGGGGCGGAGCGTCCAGCTCTCCATCTGAGCTACAGCTCTGTTGGGGCTTTCTGCTAAACATCTGTGAAGCTTATTTGCTGTCAGGTTTGTATGTACTGAACCTCTCCAGAAGTGGGGAAACAGCTGGCATTCAAATACCAAGTAAAAATGGGCTCATTCTGGCATGCACAGAGCATAGCCAATTATTGAATATTTGGTTTGTCTGGAAACTGTTTGCATTTATTTTTAATTGTCCTGTTCTTAAATTTGGTTGTTTATGGCCTTCGGCATCCTATTAGTGGATGGAATGGCGGTGGTGGGGGATAATTTCAACGTAACAAAAAAGGACTGTTTCTTTTCCAAATTAATAATCATGCATATGTCTAGGAGCAAACCTTCTCACCCTACAATTCATTTCCTCCCTGAAACATCTTTGCTGCATCCCCTACTGAAACCTAAAATCGTGTTCCTGCCCTTACTGTTCAGACTGTTTTAAAGTGACTGGTTACAATATTTTAAAGTAAATGAGATCTTTAGAGAATACAAATAAATAAATAATAGAATTTAGCTATAGAATAGCTAGATTTCAAGGAGAAATTGTAGAGGACAATGCCAAACTATTGAAGAAAAAATATAGTTTTTTGCTGGAATGGGAAACAAAAGATGAAGAAGTCAAATATGTAATGATTAAGCAGGCAAGAGATCTGGGACATAATATTCAAATGAGTGACTGGGAAAAACTTTGGAAGGTGGATTTGAAATTTACTGCATGTACAACACTGAAAGAGAAATGGAAATGGTGTACCGTTGGTGCACAATACCAGTAAAACTGGCAAAAATGTATAGAACAAGTTCCAATAAGTGTTGGAAATGTAAAGAAAAAGAAGGTACTCTTTATCATATGTGGTGGGAGTGTAAAATGGTTAAAAATTTATGGGAAATGATATATAGTGAACTGAAGAAAATGTTTAAAATGACCTTCATTAAAAAAAACTTGAAGCATTTCTTGAAGGAAAAGAAGAAACTGTTTATGTATGCAATAGCAGCAGCCCAGACCCTACTAGCTTAAAGGTGGAAGGAAGACAAGATACCAACAATAGAAGAAGGGCAACTGAAAATGACAGACTATGCAGAAATGGAAAAAACTTACGGAAAAGCTCAGAGACATTGATAAATTTAAAAAAGAATGGGAAGCATTTATTGAATATGTACAAAAATATTGTAAACAAGTAGAAACACTAGCAGGCTTTGACTAAACATTTGCAAGTAGTTAAATTGAGATAAAATTTATGGAAGGAAATTGGAATTGGAATAGCAAAATCTGATGGCATGCAATTAGGATAAAACAATAAGGATAAGAAAAAGAGGTTTGAGTAAATTATGCAGAAAAGGTATATGTTCAATGAACCAGGAAAGGAAATGGAGGGAAGTCAGGAGGCTAAAGAGAACCTCCGAAAAGATATTTTCTTTTTTTCTTTCTCTTTCTTCTCTTCTTTCTCTTTCTTTGGTTCTCTTTACTTTTATTTCACTTTTTATTTTTTATGTTGGATATTTTGTATCTTACTTGATGGGAAATAATTGTTGACGTTGAAACTGTAAAACCAATAAAATGTATTTACAAAAAAATTAAGTGACCTTACGTTTCCTAATCTCAGTCATCATATTTCCTTATGGTATGGCATGTGGACATAAGAATACACATACACAGTATAACTATATTGTATTGAAATGAGTACCCATGTCCAAAATCATAAGAAAGCGGGACTGGAGTAACATCTAGTACCAGAGGAAAGACTATTAGCAATAGTAGTAATATTGCTAAATTAATTTGTATACCACTTACTTACCAAAATGGTCTCTAAGTGTTTTACAAGTATAGAACTGATTAGAAAGCTTATAGCTGCACATAATTAAAATACACAATAAAGCAATTCCATCAACATACTAAATGTCAGGGGCTGGAAGGATGCTGAGGAGTGTGTCCTGGGAGAAGGGGAACTGGAATTTGACTTGGGAGAGAGGGGCAGTGATTTGTGGGGATGTGTACCAACCAAGTGGCAAGAGTCAAAGGCAGGGGAAGCTTTGGAGCTGAAGGGTGGAGCACAGGATGAGTGGAAGAAGAGGAGGAAGAGGCAGGTCAGGCGAGCAAGTGAAGGTTTGGCTGCTTCTCCACCCTCTCCTGCACCACTTGTCTACCAGAACCAGGAGAGAATTGAAATGATAAGGACAGAACCCTCAGGTGCAGTGGATGACAGAATCTGGTTGCTAGCCTTGAAGTTCAGTTCAACTGCCATTTCACTGGGCTTCCATACATGAAATTGGGAAAGTGCCATGACATCCTTCACCTCAGGATTGATCCAACCCTGGCAGCGGAAGCTGCACAATACTATCACAAATGAGATTTCTCTCATCTCAGCTAAGAGCTCCAGACGTGACCACATTGGAAGTTCTGTAAGAGGATTGTTGCTGTGCATGCATGTGCTTTTAAGAAGGATTTTGTATTGTACCCAGAGAGATTTTCATCTGAGCTCAGAAAGAAGTTAAATTAATATAAACTTGCAAAGACAGCAAAGAAACCAGGCGCTTGTGGTTGAAAAGGTCAAGTGAAATGTATGGCAGAGATCCCAGTACACATAAATTGTAGTGTGTGTGTGTGTGTGTGTGTGTGTGTGTGTGTGTGTGTCTATACAAATGTAATTAGGGCAAAGCTCCTTTTCAAGTTGAGTCTGAACCACTTGTGAATAGTATGACCTCAGTCTATGTCAGAACATTAGTATAAAATTATTCATTAATAAATCACTCAGCAAATAAATCTGCTGCCTCCCTGGTACCCTGATCCTTAATAGCGTTGCTGCCTTTTATATTCTTGTGGCAACTGAATGCTAAGCTGATTGCTTGACAAGTTACCTAGCAAAGAGCAGAACCACCCAGGGAATGAGACTGCGAGGAATGGAAAGTCCCAGAGAAACAAGAAAACAAGAGGAGGATGGGGAATGTAGGTGAAGGAGGATGACTTGAACAGCACTGGGAGGATTGAGGTAGGCCTTCTCAGTCAAAATGGACCAAGGAACAGACTTGAAAATGCTGTGATCCCTGCCTATGGATTTTTGAAAATGTGGGAGAAAATGTAGGTGGAAAGTGGGTACATGAAGGTGTAGGCTCAAACAGTGGTCGCCTCCACACCATAAAGCACACAACTCGCCCTGAAGAATCTTGGGAACTATTGTTTATCCCTCATAGAGCTACAATTCCCAGCCCCCTTAACCAGCTACAGTTCCCAAGATATTTTGGCACAAACCATGTGCTTTAAATGTGCCATGATTGGGTGGTGCAAATGGGACCTATGGAGCTCTTTGTCATTTCTATTTCAGCTATTAAGCTGAAGTAGAAAAGCAGGTGGAGAGAGGAAGGTTCAAGCCTCCAAGCATTTTCCAGCTCTGAATGCTGCTTCAGCAATAAATAAACAGTAAAACAAAAACAGAAATAGATGCTGGCCTGCAGGGTGCAGAACACCAAAAGAGCAAATTGCTTTCACTTTGCAAAACCAAAATGGTCCAGGCCAAAAAGACACCTTTGATCCCTTGTATAGAATCAAAATTCAACAGTGCCTGAAGTCATGCTTGAAGACTCTAATCTAGTTTTCATACAAAGTGATATATCAAACCTGGGCTTTTGAAAAGTTAAATGTTTGCATTTCTGCAGTTGTGGACTGCTAGGTCAACAGCAGCAAGAAATGGAGCCTAATTCATCACTGGTGACATTCTACTGGCCAACAAATTGACGTAACAAAGGACACAACTTGCCTTTGTGGTCTTTCAAGTTTGCTTCACTTACCCCACTCCACACACAGGGAGAAAGCAGACAACACCAAAACACGTGTATTATCACAATAGAGACCCAAGTGTCTCTGAAGATATGTCTTTGCCCTGAGTCAAGGGAATACACACACACACACACACACACAATTTGATTAGACAACAGCTGCTCAGAACCTGTTATTGGCATTTTGGTTCCCATATCAGTAGTTTTGAAACCTTCCACCTTGAGGGAACACATTCCACATGGACTTATCTGCACGTCTACATGGAATTCCTGCATATTGAGCATGATTCTGGAGTATCTATTCTAGGAGTATCTATTCTAGGAGTATTCTAGGAGTATCTATTCACACAAGGAGTTCTGTGGCCTGTTAGGTCTCAACATTACCATACTGGGACCACATTCCCCCAAACACTCCACTGCAGCTTCACATTGTGGAGAAAATCCAGTAGTGGGGACAAATTTTCATTAAAATTAAGGCAGGGATGGAGAACCCGTGGACCCCAGCTCCTGGAAGCTTCTGGCAGTATGGCCAATGGTCAGGAATAACAGGAGTTGTAGCCCAGCAACCTCTGGAAGGCGGCCCTAACTTAAGGCTTAAAGGACATTTGTTTACTATTAGATATCTTATTGATGAACCCATGATAGGTTTCTGAGGAACTCTAAGTTTTGAAAAGTTTGTACCTAAGAAAAACAGTGAAATATTTCCGTCACTCAAGAGATTATTTGGCTTATGTACTTTGCTGGCCTACCTCGCCTACGAGGAATGGCCAGTGTGGTGCAGCGGTCTCATAATGTCACTGCCATTTACCAGAATGGTTTGACGGAGGGACAGGGTGGTGGTGAGGTTGGGACTGGGGTAAGTGGTAGTAGCACCACTGTCAGGAGGGCAGCTCTAATGTACCAGCTGCTCATGTCCTCCACTGCACTTGATTCTATTTGGCTGGGCAATTTTTGAGGGGATCTCGTTAAAGTCTGGTGCAGATTACCCATCCCACCCACAAACATGTGATGAATACATGAAGGGGAAGGGAGATCATACCTGCTAAACATGCCCCTGATATTGATGCACATGCTGGCTGTGTCACTGACACATGCAGGAAGCCTGGACCATCAGGGTTTCTGAGAATGTGAAAGAGCCTTTTGTGCATAATGCTGTGCATATGCCCCACTCACACTGAAGCTGAATGTGCAGGAGAGGGGAATACATTGTTGCTGGGGGGTGTGTGTGCATCTAGTAGGTATGATTCTATTCCGCACTTACCACACTTTTCTGTGTACAGTGGTGCCTCGCAAGACGAAAAGAATCTGTTCCGCGATTCTCTTCATCTAGCGGTTTTTTCGTCTTGCGAAGCAACCCTATTAGCGGATTAGCGCTATTAGCAGTTTAGCGGCTTAGCGGCTATTAAAGGCTTAGCGGCTTAGCTGCTAAAAGGCTATTAGCGGCTTAGCAGCTTAGAAAAAGGGGGGAAAGCGGGGGGAAAATCGCAAGACTAGCAAGACGTTTTCGTCTTGCGAAGCAAGCCCATAGGGAAATTCGTCTTGCGAAGCAACTAAAAAACGGAAAACCCTTTCGTCTAGCGGGTTTTCCGTCTTGCGAGGCATTCGTCTTGCGGGGCACCACTGTATAAGACTAGTTTTTTTTCTTACAATCCCCTTCTCAATTAAGTAATCAATTTTAATCTAGAATTTAAATTCTCAAAACTTTCTTATTTGTTAATTCGAGCAAGTAAACTACTGCTCCCACTTCATTACAAACAGTATTTCTACGTGCAACACACTTGAACAAACCTGCTCCTCTTCCTTTCACCGATATTTTGTTGCCATTTGCAACTGTAGCTGCCTTTGATTAGTTATCATTTAACTCTTTGGGGAAATAATTAGCATCACACGTCATGTGCATGGAAGTTGCCAAACCAATTAACCAACTAGAAGGATTAATGTTAATAGCACCAGTTTTCCTATAGCTTGATATTGCTGGATAGTTTTGATGAACTGCAAAATCATTTTTAGCTTGCTTTCTGTTGCCACCCTGGAACTTTTCTTTACAAACTTTACAAACAAGA